TTTTTTGCAGCACACACCAGTGTCCCACGTGACACCCCACGGAAAGGAGGAGAGAAGAGGAGAGAGAACGACGGAAAGGAGGAGGAGGGAGGAAATATCTATGGAGAAAGAGGTCGGGATAGAGGAGGGAGGAGAGATCTAGCACGAAGAGAGTCGGGAGAGGTCGGGATGGGAGTCGGGAATGGAGAGAGAAGTAAGCGAAGGAAGGAAAGGGGGAAGAGGTCGGAATGAGGAGGAGGAGAGGAGCGAAGGAAGGAAAGGGGGAAGAGGTCGGAATGGGGAAAGGGAGAGGTCGGGATGGGAGTCGGGAGGAGAAAGATCGCGATGGACGGATAGAGGAGGTTGGAGACGACGGATGGGAAGGGGGAGAGATCGGGATGGGAGTCGGGATATGGCCGGGATAGGGAGGGGGAGAGGTTGGGATGGGAGTCGGGAGGAGGGAGGAATGGAAGTCGGGATACGGGAAAGGATGGAGAGGTCGGCATGGGGAGGGGAAGTGGTCGGGATCGGAGTCCGGAAGGGGAAGGTCGTCGGAATACGGTCGGGATGGGAGTCAGGAGGAGGGAGGGATGAAAGTCGAGATACGGGAAAGGAGGGAGACGTCGGGATCGGGAGGGGAACTGGTCGGGATCGGAGTCGGGAAGGGGAAGGGCGTCGGGAGATCTATGGAGAGAGAAGTCGGGATAGAGGAGGGAGGAGGGATGCACGAAGAAAGTCGGGACAGGTCGGGATGGGAGTCGGGATAGGAAGGGGGAGAGGTCGTCGGGATATGGTCGGGATAGGGAGGGGGAGAGGTTGGGATGGGAGTCGGGAGGAGGGAGGAATGGAAGTCGGGATACGGGAAAGGATGGAGAGGTCGGGATGGGGAGGGGAAGTGGTGAGGGAGGGGAGATCTATGGAGAGAGAGGTCGGGATAGAGGAGGGAGGAGGGATCTAGCACGAAGAAAGTCGGGACAGGTCGGGATGGGAGTCGGGAATGGACAGAGAAGTAAGCAAACGAAGGAAAGGGGGAAGAGGTCAGAATGGGGAGGAGAACGGTCGCGATGGACGGATAGACGATGTCAGAGGAAATGGATGGGAAGGGGTAGAGATCGCGATGGGAGTCAGGATATAGTCAGGATGGGGAGGGAGAGAGGTCGGGATGGGAGAAGGGAGAAGGGAGGGATGGAAGTCGGGACACGGAAAAGGATGGAGAAGTCGGGATGCGGAGGGGAAGTGGTCGGGATGGGAGTGAAGAAGGGGGAGGAGGACCATCCCCGGGATAGAGGAGGGGGGATAGTGGTTGGGATAGGAGAGAGGGAGAGGCAGGAAGGGGTGAGAGGTCGCGATCGGAAGGGCGAGAGGTCGGGATGGGAATCGGGAAGGGGAAGGCCGTCAGAAGAAGGAAAAGAGGAAAGGGAGAAGGGAGATTTTTTTTTTTGTTTTTTTTTTTTGTTTTTTTTTTTTTTTTTTGGCACACATACACACCGACATATCAATAACATCTGAGGGGAGAGGTTGGGAGGAGAGGTCGAGATGGAGAGGGGGAGAAGTCGCGATGGGAGTCGAGAAGGGGGAGGGGGACCATACCGGGATAGAGGAGGGGGGATAGTGGTTGAGATAGGGGAAGACAGGAGGGATGGGAGTCGGGAAAGGTAAGCCTAGAAAGACAAGGGGAGAGAGGTTGGGATGGGGAGAGAGAAAGATCGGGATGGGAGTCGGGAAGGGGAAGGGCGTCGAAAGAAGGAAAAGAGGAAAGGGAGAAGAGAGAAGGGAGGAGAAAGGTCGCGATGGACGGATAGAGAAGGTCCGAGGCGATGGATGGGAAGGGGGAAAGATCGGGATGGGAGTCGAGATATGGTCGGGATGGGGAGGGGAAGAGGTCGGGAGGGGGAGAGGTCGGGATGGGAGGAGGGAGGAGGGAGAGGTCGGGATGGGGAGGGGAAGTGGTCGAGATCGGAGTCGGGAAGGGGAAGGGCATCGAAATATGGTCGGGATGGGGAGGGGGAGAGGTCGGGATGGGAGTCGGGAGGAGGGAGGGATGGAAGTCGAGATGCGGGAAAGGAGGGAGAGAACATCTGTCCTCTTTTTTTTTTTCTTTTTTTTTTTTTTGGAAAGGCAATAGAAGGTGCAGCAACGAGGCGAAAAAAAAGAGGACAGGGCAACCTGCCCTCCCTTCTCACAGTCTCTGCTCTTCTCGCCGCGGGCGGAGCCGCGGCGTTTAAAGGGCCACGGCCTAAAGGTGGGCTAATTAGTGCTGGTATTGTATACAGATTGCAAGTTGACGAAGTATCAGACGCAAGAAACGAATGGCAAATCATCACACGCAGGTCAACGTACTCAGTACGCTTGACGAGTACACAGTAAAAGCATCTCGTTATGTATAGAAAAAATTAGACACAGTAGGAAAAGGCGTCCCCGACACCGCGTTTCGATGACACCCACGTCATCTTCTTCAGGGGGTTTCCGCCATCACTCCCCAACTATGCATGCCGTCCCATCATTCCCACTCCCGCTCGTATCGGCCCTCGCAGTCCGGACTGCTACGGTCAAACACCGAGCGTTAGTCCCAAAAGAGGCTAATGACCATGTACACACTCGTATATATCGCAGCTGTCACCACTGTCATATCAAACAGTCCTGAAATACGCGGTACCTGAAACGCCTGGTACCCCTAACCTACCTGTCTCTGGTTCCTAAGTCGAAAACTACTTGTACTGACGTCGGTTCGAAACTTGATGTAGGCAAACAAAGATAAAGCATATACTGCTCAAAACATATAAAGGATCTGATGTCCTTAAGGTCAGCGGTTCAAAACTCTCATTGCATACGGAAAAAGGCCCGGGACAACATCTGGCCCGTGTGCTGATATCGGACTGATCTCGGACTGACCTTGTCCATCTATCAAGTTGGTATCGGACGGACCCTGTACATACATCCAAATGTTATCGTACTGACCCTGAACATCCATCCTTCGTCTAGCCTCCCTGGGCCTAATGGATAATGGAGATGGAATTGCAGTAGGTTGGTGAGGTCTTGCAGTATTCAAAGATAAAGAAGGACATGGATTATTTGAATTTATTTCAATTTATTTGTACGTCGTATGCCTACTTTCTTTGAGACGATTCCGGTTGTTGTAATTGATGAAGAGGGCATTGGTAGAGCAGATTTACCTTCCGTCGAGCAGAATGTACACGCTTCAGCCTCCTGACGAGTCGGTGAAACTCTGACGAAACAGTTTGTCCCGTCCCCTCGTTTGTTGTCCTCTTCTCCCTCCCTCTTCTCCCTCCCTCTCTGCCTATGGTTTACCATAGGCAGCTCTGTTTGACCATATATATACTACCGTCTTCGCACGAATAGAGCGTACGGTCAGTATCTCAAAATCGAGACTGAAAATTGGCCAAAATACAGTTGCAATGACCGTACGTTCTATTGGGGTGAAGACGGTAGGTCACTCAGAATTGTGTTTTTTTTTTTTGTTTTTTTTGTTTTTTTTGACCATTTCTCGATTTATGCGTGTCATCCTTGCGCAGGGGCCATTTGCTAATTTATCCTTCTCTGTGTCGTTCCAATTTTAACGGATGTCCCGAAGGACAGGTAACTCAGAATTGTAGTATGTATTTTTTTTTTAATTTTTTACGATTTTACAGTTTTTACTATTTTGCTATTTTGATCATCTGCTTCCAGTGGAGTTCGAACTCAGCACCTGGTCTGTATTTCATCAACAGTTCAGTTCACAGGGTGTACCTTCGGCCGGTTGTCCCTCGGCAGATCGTTTCTGACCCGTCCCTGACAGATGTCCATGTCAGATGTCTCTGACAGATCATTCTTTGCCACGTCAGATGTCCGTGACAAATTATCTTTCTGACGTCAGGTGGAGTGAGTTCTCTCTGTGTTGCTCCATTCTTCGGGTTGCTACGCTCATCTGGTTGTTCTCGCGCATATCGTTTCTGACATCATTGACATGTCAGATGTCCCTGACAGAGCAGTATCTGTCCCAGGTCAGATGTGCTTGACAGATCTTCTCCTTTTTTTTCTTTTTTCTTTTTTTTTTCTTTTTTTCGCGTCGTCCTTGCGCAGGGGCCATGCTAATCTACTCTCTGTATCGTTCCAATTTTAACGGATGTCCCAAAGGACTTGACAGATCTTCATCTTTTTTTTTTTTTTTTTTTTTTTTTTTTTTTTTTTAATTTTTCCCATTTTTTTTTTTTTTTTTTTTTTTTTTTTTTTTTTTTCCCTTTTAGATCGTTTTAGGTCATCATCTTTGTCATGTCGGGCATCCTCGACAGGCAATCTTCTTCTTCTTCTTCTTCTTCTTCTTCTTCTTCTTCTTCTTCTTCTTCTTTTTTTTTTTTTTTTTTGGCTATGTCAGCGGAAGAGAGTTCTGGTGTTGATGAATGGTTATGCTTTCCTGAGAGCATACTCACAGTAGGACTTGCCTGGATCCATCCATCTGATTGAAACTGCGACTTCTCGTGCATGCTTCTGACTGCAATTTACATCCAGATACGTAGTCAACAACGTCGTGGTGCGCGAGTGTGCCCCCCTGAGGTCATTCTGGGATCATGAGGGAGCGATGCATGCCCGCCGAGACATGAGCAGGTCTTGCCCATGGCTTCAAATGTTTTCTTTGACAGTGTGTTGAAGAATACCTGGATGGACTTTTTTCCATCCTTCGCCCGGGGTTATAGGCTCAACCTCAACGCCTCGTGGATTCTCTCAGTCCTAGGTAGTGGACCCTCCGTGTTCTATTCAGACAGTGTCCTACTTCCCCTGGTAGATATATCGTAAAACAGAATTGCGCGGTAATCCGTAGGCAGCGAGGAGCTATTACGGACTTACGTTGACGATAACTTTGTCCTCTTTCCTCTACGTGCAAACGAAAAGAGGTAGGGCCACATCAGGTTGCAGCAGATCGGAAAGGAATGTGGAACATAATGTACAGGGAGAGAGGGACAGGATGTCGGACATAACGTAGAGGGAGAGAGGGACAGTATGTGGGACATTAACGTCCACGGAGAGAGGGACAGGATGTGGCACATAACGTAAAGGGAGAGAGGGGCAGGATGCGGGACATAACCTGCAGGGAGAGAGGGAGAGTCAGAGCACTCCATGATGGGAACCGGAGGAGTACATTTACGACGATAAACACGACCTTCGCGATAATGTTGTCTGCTCTAACCTCAGCGCCCACCACCGAGTGCTCTCCCTCTCTCCCTATATACATTATGTACCACGATCCATCCTACTAAGGCTTAGTGCTCTCCCTTTCATTGCTTACGGCTCTCCAAGTAAATCTTACAGCTTTGCATTCGCTCCTTGGAAGTTCTCGCCGATCCATCAATATGGTCGAGTCCCACGGGTAATGGAGCGCGGAAAGGAAAGGAGAAACGATTCAAATCCGTAGCAGCACAATTCACCGGGCCAAGCATCGCACAGTTCAGCTTGTCATTCTGTGAATTTTGACGTTGCCTTCCTAACAGAGTAACTATAGAGTTTCTCTCTTCTCCCTCTAGGCACAGGGAACATCTTCATCTTCTTCCTCTATGCATGGTCGCAAGAAACGTCGATGCTATACCCCCTCGTTTGTTGCCGTCTTCCTCTTCTCCCTCTCTGCTTACGGTTTACCGGGCACCTCTCTTTGACTATATATACAGAGGGCCTGAGAGGGCACACGAGGCCGCAAAGAATAGGCACCTCTGTTCTAACTTCTAAGTCAACTTAGACTCTTAGAGTAATGGAAACACCTGCCCCCCCCCCCCAAAAAAAAAAAAAAAAGAAAAGAAAGAGGACTAGTAATGTGAAGACACAGATGTACCCCCCCCCAGAATAAAAGGGCCTGTGTTTTTTGAAAAAAAAAAAAAAAGACTACCGTGAGTTGAATCTTGCGAGGCTCATTGCAGCTGGCTGATGCAGCGACTACCGTGTGTCTAAGTCTAGGTCCCTGGGCTCTACAGCACCCTGGTGAGATGGAAAAACAGGCACTCAGAGAACCGGGGGGCAATAAAAAAAGCAGGCACGCATAACCGTGGCACACGGAAAAACAAGCACACAGAGATCTGGGGCAGCTTGGAAAACAGGGACACAGAAACCTGCGCAGGCGCGCAGAGAAAAGCAGGCACACAGAGAAGGTATACAACTGACATCAACTTCACGATTGCGCAAAACGCATTCACTCGAGAGGCACTCACACAGAGAACCTGGGCAGATTGAGAAACAGGGGCAGAT